ATCAGATCTGTTTGGCCGGCCTCGGCGCCGATTGGCTGGGAAGCCGGCTTCCTGGCCAATCTGCATCGAGCCGGCCAAACAGAATGGAGTCGGCTTCCCAGGCAATCAAGAAGCCGGGTGGTGGGTAGTGACACGCCGCCTGGCTCCTTGATTGCCCAGGATGCTGGCTCTATGCTACCGGAAGTACCGGTATCGGTACCGTCGAGTGCCAAAAGCTTAAAGAACTGTGGCCAGGCTATGGACATTCAAATATGTACATACTTCTACCAAGCAGTAAACAAGCCCTCACTGATGTCTGTAGCTGCGGGCACTGTGGGGCAATATATTCTCAAAGTTCACAGCAGTCGGGTCTCTTCCTTTGCATTCCCTCGTTGCTATATTTAAGAACAGAAGGTTGGCAGGCTGACATAGTCACTGCTTGAAGGAGGCGTAGAGCTGCTGAAATTCTGCTGACAATTATGGTGATTAATTACCCCATGGTGCCTGCAGCTACAAAGTCCAGTGACCGCTTTTAAAGCTCATTTACTGCTTGTTAAGACAAAATTGTAAAGAATTGAATGTCTATAGACTGACTACAGTTCCACTTCTACTTAACAGACATACGGAATTTTGATGCAAAACCACCGCACATTAAGGATGCACCGATACCGATACTAGTATCAGTAGTGGTGCCGATGCCGAGTATTTGGGCGAGTACTCGTCCAAATGCTCCGATGTCTAGCCCGATACTTCTAGTATTAGGAAGCCGGGCAGCAAGTCATTACACGTTGCCCGGCTTCCTGATTGGCCGGGAAGTCAGCTCCATGCTCCCTTGTCACTTTGCCCGGCTTACTGATTGGCTGGGAAGCCGGCTTCATGCTCCCTCATCACCTCATGACGAGGGAGCATGGAGCCAGCTTCCTGGCCAATCAGGAAGCTGGGCACCGCATCATTACACTGCGCCCGGCTTCCTGATTGGACAGAAAGCCAGCTCCATGCTTCATCACCTAGTGACGAGAAGCATGGGGACAGCTTCCCTGCTAATTGGGAAGCCTAGTGGCGAGTCATTACATGCTGCCTGGTTCCCTTAATGGGACTTCCGGTATCGACGAGTACCGAATAAAAAATATTGGTACTTGTAACCGAAATACCGATATCGGTGTATCCCTACCCCACATGTATGGATTTGAATAGGGACAATGAACAATTATTTTCTAAGTGCTCCTGCATTGAACCTGTGTCGATTAAAATTGCAAGCTGTGTGCTGGGTGAACGAGTCTTTAGATAGGTTAGATTTTGATATAACTGGTATAGCGAGGCTTTACATTCTTAGATCCTCATTTCTATTTTAAAACGTGAGCATGCTTTTTCTTTTTTCCGCAGCCATTTATGTGATTAACACCGCAAGCCGTATGCTGGGGCATTATGTAATAAATGCATAACGCTCTGCAGCGTATACCTTTCAGAAAGAAGCAGCAAAAACAGATGGTGCATTTTTAATAAATGTAACTGCAAACTACAAAGATTGAATTATTCAGACTGCTGCTGTCTTGTAAACTGTCAGAATGCCTCAGCTTCTCCTGCTCACACTAAAATAGGTCACAGAAAGGCAAACACGAGTCCGGGGGGAGGGGTATACACGGTCATGTGACCTCTCCTCCTCCTCACCCTCCATGCCAGCGTTCCCTAGACCTTCAAATGCTGAAAATCACGGAGGAAAACTAACCACAGGATGATCATTCCTCGGTTGCCTCTTGCGATCGGTTTTTCAACTGGCCATTTTAAAGGGAATACGTCACAAAGCAAAATACCTGTGTGGCAAGCACCATGCAGAAGCTGTCATTCTCTGGCTGTCAAACACAGTAGTGAAGCCGCTGCTTTGGAAGTCAGGTTTCATCTGTTGCTTCACCCACAGGTACTTTGCTTAGTGACAGGTTCTCTTTAAAAAGGCAACACTTCCAGGTTTCTCTTCACCAGTTTTTTATTGTATAGGATTTAATATTTCTTAAAGAGACACTGTTAACTTTTGCACGCAGAGCAAGCTGACCATGTTTCTAGAAAGGGCACCTCCCTAAACCCCATATACTTACCTTACAAGTGCTTCCTCGCAGCTCCTTGCTCCTCTGGATCTGGCGGCATTACCAGCTCCAATGCGACAGTGCCCATTGCTAGCAACTAATCGCTAGAACCAAGCACTGTCACATGACCGGAGCAATGGCGTCACCACTCCGATGGGTCACCAACACAACTGATTTTAGTGGCCCATGGAGCTGCGGTAAGTATAGGGGTCGGGGATGCCCTTTCCAGAGACACTGTCGCCTTGCCCAGCATAAGCAAAGTGACACGTGCAGAGCCTATAACCACCACTAGGGGGCACACTTAAAGCCCCTTTTTGGAAAGGAATGCAGTAACTACATTTCGGTTTCACTGTAAGATTGGAGAATGCCGACTTATTGCTATGGCTCCCCTCACTTTACTTTATTAAGTATAAAGACATTTTGTTTTCTTTTTATTTTATTCAGGGAATACCACTAATAAAAACTCAGAGAATGCCTTAAATCCTAACTGAATGGAGTTAAAGAAGAACTGCAGGAAGAATTATTCCTAACCCTTGCAGTGGAGCTACCCCTGCAATATGAGGGTTAAGTGCTTGTTTTCATCTAGGGTGCAAAATAAAAGTTATACTCACCCAAACTTTGGAGCTGGGTGGCTCCTAGACCGGTTTAATCAGCCTATCTCGCCTTCTGCTGCAGCAATGGTATGTCCCGAAACATCCTCACATCCTATACACGGTGTATTGGATGTTAAGGTTGCTTAGACCGCTGTTGTGTTGGGGGGTGAGTGAGGCTGGAAGGACCGGGCTAAGAGTCAACCGGCTTCAAGGATCAGGTGAGTATGAAGTTTTTTAGTTTACATCCTAGATGAAATGAGCACCTGAAGGAGAATTATGGGGTGAGGGAAAAACACTCTTCCACATAATTTAAGCCGACCTGTGACACTGAAGCTGTCACAGGTCGGCTCTACTGATCGGGAAGTGAGGGAACACATACCGCTGATTTCCCGATCCTCTGCCTGACTGTCACCACTCCCTGCAGGGATTCCCCCCTCTTCCGACTGGAGGAACAGGACAGGGAAGGGGGTATGCACAGCTCTAGAGAGGCAGAACCAGCTGTCAATCAGCCAGCGGGGTGGATCTCAACAGTATTGTTGGCATCCATCCCGGCTGCAGCGCGGCTCTGCGCCCCCAGTATATGGTGGGCAATAGCCTGCTATATACGGAGTTTTGGGTCACCAGAGGACATTATTAGATGTCCTCTTGTGATCCTAAAAAGAACTATGGGGTAAAAAATTTTTTTTAGGCCATAGTTCTCTTTTAACCCTTGCAGTGCAGGGATAGCTTCAGCAACACAACTGATTTTAGTGGCCCATGGAGCTGCGGTAAGTATAGGGGTCGGGGATGCCCTTTCCAGAGACACTGTCGCCTTGCCCAGCATAAGCAAAGTGACACGTGCAGAGCCTATAACCACCACTAGGGGGCACCCTTAAAACCCCTTTTTGGAAAGGATAAAAAAAAATTTTTAGGCCATAGTTCTCTTTTAACCCTTGCAGTGCAGGGATAGCTTCTTTAACATTTCCAGGAGTTTTTTTCTTGCTATGCTATCACTGATTGTCTGAAACGTTCTCCCTCAAAGCCATGAAGTCTGGTGTCATAAAACCTTACTGCTTAAACAATAGAAGATTTATTCCACTGCCAAGGCTAGGCTATTATACGTCCAGTGTCTTTATATATATATCAGGTAACTAGGAAGGTGGAAAGGCAGAAAGGAGGGAAGGGAAGTGGGGTCCAAACAAAAAGAACTTGACGTGCATCTGACTATAAACATTAAAATATTTACATATTCTTAGCAAGAAGTAAAAAAAAGCTTTAAAATGAGCACTCGTTGATCTCTGTAGCTGCATGTAATGTGAAGTAATTCATCCTCAAAGATTACAACAAAGACTTTAGAGCAGGGCTAGGCAGCCTCGCCACATCATCTGTTGTGGAACTACAAGTCCCATGAGGCATTACAAGCGTTTGACAGTCACAGGCATGACTCCCAGAGGCAGATGCATGATGGGATTATTTGCAGTTTCACCACAGCTGGAGTGCTGAGGTTGCCTACCCCTGCTTCAGGGCTTGTTCGCACCATGTCTGTTGAGCTGCGTTATCCTGCACACCACTGCAGATGTATGTGGTGAATAGGGTAGACAGAAAACAGTTATTTTCTATGTTCTCGGTTTACTTCATACATGTGCGGTGGTGTGAAGTCTGTTTTCAGTTGGTTTCTAAAAGTTTCCAGCATCTGTTGTGTGTTTACATTAGAGGGCTGGTAGGCGGTCAAGATTCTGCTTCCACATAAAATAGCTGAGATTTCAGTGCCTCTGTTGTGAAATTTGAAGATGCATTTCTCCACAATGGCTTTAGCTACAGAGGTGAATGAGGGATTGTGTTAACGTGCTTTCAGTGCTTGTTTAGAATATGTAAATTATTTAGTGTGCATAGTCTGGGCACAGGTTTATGTTAAAACAAAACCATTAATTAAAAAAGGTACCACATCTGCTGGGTGGGATACAAAACCCTGTGGAATTCTGGTTCACATTGTATACATATGTTTTGTTTAAAGAATTTTAGGGCTCACAAAAACTAAAGAGACAGCACTATTCTAGCTGGGAAGAAAAGCTTCGGCCAGGATTGAGGAAATTGAAAAAAGAAGTTTCCTTCAGCTGTTATAACCTAATGACTAAGACAAAGTCTATGCGATGCGCAATGTACACGTACTGTGTGCAAACATACACAAAACTGACCACACCACCACACACAGAGCCATAGAGTGAACACACAGAGCGCAATGACACATAAAACACGCACCACAACCACAGTGTCCACAAATACGCAAGCACACAAAAACAGAGCGCGGTCGGCACAGACGGCAGCACAAGGTTGACGAAGAAAGAGGCATGGTACTGCGGGGACAGCTTACCGCCTTTGGCTTGTAGGGCGGTTGGATCTCTTTTCTCTCGAGCTTCTCCCAGTCTATATATCGGAAGAATGCGTGGTCCTTTATGTCTCGCTCCCCTTCTGGTCCACAGCCCAGGCGTTTGCCGGGGTGTTTCGTCATAAGCTGCCGAGAAAGAGAACTTAATTTAATTATAACAGGTAGTGAAGACTGAATCATTTATTTATGGTATTAATATAGCGCCAACAATTTACAGAGCGCTTTACATACTGCACATTCACATCAGTCCCTGCCCTCAAGGAGCTTACAATCTAAGGAGCCTATCTCACATGCATACATTTTAGACAGGAGCCAATAAATCTTCCAGAATGTCTTTGGAATGTGGGAAGAAACCAGAGTACCCGGAGGAAGCCCGCACAAGCACAGGTGCTAACCACTACGCCGTCCCATCATGAGAATCCGCGATTGGCAAATGTCTCATTAATATTTGTTTAATTCTTGTAACAAATGTGCATATGATTGTCATCAGACTGGAGCCTTCCAACATCCTCTGGTCATCTCCACTATTATCTGGTAACTTGCAGCAGATGAAGAAGGAATGCCATACGAGCTCTCAGCAACCGCAAGTTAAATTTAGCTCCAGCCACTTTCAGCTCCCCGCCCCCCCCAAAAAAAGAGGCGGTTCCAGGAACCAGCTGGCTCTGAGGATCAGGTAAGGGAAAACCTTTTTTCCTCACCTTTCCTTTCATGAGCAGGTGACCCTTGCAGTGTTTGGTAGCCCCACTGCAAGGGTTAATAAAATTTGTGCCTGGAGTCATTTTATTAATTACATTGTACAACATGAGGTGTGCTTGACTTTATTGGATAGCTCTGCAGTTTTGCGCTCTTTAAGGGCCGGTGCAGACGATTGCTGCGTTGCCCCATTGATTTTAATGGGATACAACTGCAAGGCAATCGCAGAAAAAAGGTACATGTACCTTTTTTTTTTTGTAATACACGACGCGCAGCTATTTTAGCCGTTATCATGTTTGGACGCACTGGCGGAATAGCGGCGGGCAACCCCTCGATCCGCCCGGCGCAACTAGAAAATAATGGCACCGATCGTCGGTGATGGGTGACTCCCTATCGTGCATGATTGCCGCGCGGTCACGGATCGCCCAGGTGTGCACCGCCCTAAAGTAAACAGAATGAGTGGAATTTTGTAGAACTGGAGCAGCTGTACCTGGCAACCAATCAGCTTCTCTCTTCAGTTTGTTCAGTTAAGATTTGAAAAATGAAGAGAGAAGCTGATTGGTTACCATGCACAGCTACTCCAGATTTGATCAATTCCCCTCTATTTACGGTATGATTAACGACACCGCGGATGATGTTTTGGCTTAGCAACCAATTCTGTTGCTAGTGACACGGAAAGACGTGCGCCCGGGATGTGCGGAGTGGAGGAGATGTGCTACAGACGCTAGTTTATGTCACTGCAGTCTATGGAGGCAGCACAGCTGTGCACAAATGGCTGCTGTTACTCAGAAAACATGCTGCCGAGTTCAAAGGTAATGTAGCTTTACACAGATTTACATAATCAAAGTCAGAGAGTCTTGTGGATTAGCCAGGAACAGTTACTTTTTTATTAGAATACAAACCAAAAACAGGGTAAGGCATACCCAGAACGATGCCACACGTTGCACTGCCCTTAGGTGGTCCTTTATGCATATCTAGCTGTAGTATTGCTTTTATTGTTATTTTTATTATGCTTCCTTAAAATAATTTAGAAGTCAACTACAGACACAATGGAGCAGTTTATATTTCCTAAAGAAGGAGCACAGGGTGACATTTAAACCTTTCACTAAACCGTTACATTATAAGTTACAAGTAGATACTAGCCTGACCACTAATGTCACATAAAAGCTGTAACACAACAATGTAGATTCATTATTGAAGAACATTTTATTAACTCTTACAGTAGCGCCTACCTGCCCGCAATACTCGTTTTGGTCTAGGGAGGAAAATGAAAAAAAGTTATACTCACCTGAAACTTGGAGCCGACTTGCTCTTCGAACGGTCCCTGGAGCCTCTCTCCTCCTCCGCTGCAGCAATTAAGGTCCCCGAGTCATCGCAGTCAGTATATAGGATGCGAGGACACCGAGGGATTTACCATTGCTGCAGCGTAAAAGGGGACAAGCTGGAGGGAGCGCTATCACAGCCAGCTGGCTTGGAGGATCAGTATACACCTTTGTTATTTTCCTCCTTACACCAAATGGAGCAGTTAAAAGGAGAACTATGAGGTGAGCGATTTCCACTCATCCTCATAGTTAGAGCCGACCTGTGACAAAGAAGCTGTCACAGGTCGGCTCTATAGATCGGGAAGTGTGCAGAAACAAATCTTGCTCAAAGTTTGCACACTTTTAAGCGTCTTTTCGCAAAAAGGCGCAATTACAAATTTGCTAATATTTGTTATTTATTAACTCAATACAGTTTTATCTTTTAGATTTAGTCAAAAAATATTTTTTTTTGTGCACGGATACTGATTTTGGTGTGTTTTAACAATTGAATTGTGTATTTTTATCGGTTTAATATTAATTTGAGAAACATTTGCGCAATTATCGCAGGGCCTACAAATTTAGTATCACCATCTTTTTATTCTCCGGGCCTGCGCTTTCAGAAAATATATGGTTTGGGGGGTCTTTTACAAACGCTAGCAACGCAGCAGTTGAAAATCAAATCAATAGGAAAAAATTGAAGAAAATTCAAAAATGGCTTGGCCAGCTGATTTGAAAAATGGCAGCGAAAGGGTTAAAGTCTGTGGGGAACGAATCTTGCTATTTAGTTCTGCCCAAACTATTGTCCAACAAAAAGTGTGGGAAAACGGGCGCTACCATGTGGGACATGTACCAATGCCAAAAAATAAAACAACAATATCTCTCCCTATAAATAATTGTCAGCTCTCTCTTACAGCACCAACAAACATGGCGGTATGCTGCCGTGAGCCCATTCTTTTATATAAAGGGTGGTGGGTTGTCCATTCCTTCCATTATTGGCTCTTGTGTCTCAGCCGACCAGGAGCAAAGGCCCTGCATTATAGGTTAAAGGCAACTTAACATTAAAGACACATTAAAGGCAATTCATTATAGGTTGTTCCTTATTTCTGCTGGCGAAGCTGCAAACCTTTCACTAAAAAGTCTGCGATTCCGTAAATGCTCAGATCCTGACGATTGACCACTAACCCGAACCACATCCATAGCTGTCACTCTCTGGAAGCCGATCCAGAGCAATGCAGCCGACGCTGGAGCATGTAGACAGGACGTGGCTTAAAGAGGCTAAAGGAGATCCACAGACAATAGGATTAGGCTGCCAACTTCAAAAAGGTTTATTCCTACTTGTACCAATTCATTATTCAGTAGAATGTGAGGACAAGCCAGATTCGTGCCACGATTTGACTTGATCAGGTCAGTCAGCACAATGCGTGGATGCGAATGTCTGACACAGCGGATGTGACTCAGTGCCTTACAGCGGAGTTCTGGGGAGACATTATGGCTCACCAGCAATGCCCAGCCATTTCCTATTAGCTTTGTTTGGGGGCGGCGGAGGGATCAATTGCAATCAGCCTTCGCAAGCACTTGTGCTGGGAGTGCTTTTCTGTGCATCAATCCGTGTGTGTCTGTAATATGCAAGCACGTGCCAGCTCATGTGTGCCCAACATGTGTGCTTCTACCCACCATGACAGAGGTGTGAAGCCTGGGGGTGCAGCCTTGCTGGAATAGATTAGCATTTACGCGCTGTGCTTCACACCCATTATGCTAATTTCTAGCGCTGAAACGCTTAAAAGACACTATCGTGGAAACGAGTGTTTTGTTTGCCTTAAAGAACCAGCCCGGGGGGGGGGGAGAAGAATAAATAAACATGAGAAATCAAGGCAAATTGGTGTGGGGCCGCACGTACACTGCAAGAATGATCCACAACATGTGTAGTACATATTGTACAAAGCTGCAGCATTGAAGGTCACTAATGGGCTCATCATAAGTCAGGAGAAAATAAATAAGTACATAGCGCTTTGCCATGGGTCCAAACCATTCACAGAGCTCAAGCCTCTAACAGAGTAGAGGCTGTTTCAGCTCTTGCCTCACTAAGTTAGGTTACACAGGCAGTGTTGAAGCCTGCCGCTGTGCAACCTAACTTAGCTGTCAAAGCCGGATGCAGTGCCGCCTGTAATTAACTAATTATGTAAATCACAGGTTACACAGCGGGGAGGCTTTCCCTGCTGTGTAACCTGTCGCATGCCCCTCCGAATGGAGAGAAGCTGTCAGCTTCAGACTTGAAGCTGAGAGCTTTTTCCTCCAAAATACTAGGTGAGGCTCTGCCTCACCTGCATCCCGACCGCACGTCCCTGAAGAACACAGAACCGCGATTTCATATATCAAAAAATGTAATTGTTGTTTTGTAACAAAGGCATTCTGGAGTACTGCGTGTCCTTGTCAACTGACCCCATTCCATGGCACAGGTCATGTGATCGGAGAGAAACTGCATCAGTAGAGCCTACAGACAATAATTCTTCAGTATTACTATGAGCACATGCTAGACTAGGCAGACCATGTGACCTATGCCGAGGGACAGGTTCTGTGATGTCATTGTGATATCGCTTTAGATTTAATTTCTGTTGTGTTCACAGGACAGGACAATAATTGGTATCCTTTGAATGGGGCCAATGTGACAAAAAATTGTGCCGGGGTCTCATTTCCCAACAACAGACGTTTTGGCCTGTAGATGCCCTGATCTGGGTGCTGTAATGTGCAAACCCCAACTGTGAGTTCTGCGGTTGGTATTTGGCCTACCTTCTCCAATACCTTCCTATGTACTCGTCAATAGGAAAACACAGGCTAGACAAGTTGCATTCAATATTTGCATAATAAAGCACATAGGTTTTGGGGGTACCCAATGGTTCTAAAGATAAAGTGAGCATGTGAGTTCGAGGAGATCTCTACAAAAGGGAGGGGATTTCTCCAATCGCCAGTAAAGGGTCAGGAAGGGATTTTTGGACCCTCTTACAGCAAACTGGCCTATGCTTGCAGGGCTTTTTTTGCCTTCCTCTGGAGTAAACACCTAAAACTCACACACATTGAACTTGATGGATCTGTGTCTTTTTTTCGACCTTATCTGCTATGAACTAAGAGGGGAATTGTCATCTTAAGCAGTAGTCACCTGGAAAGATGTCACCACTGGAAGATTTACACTCTCCACTTATTCTGGTGACAATTGCAAAATGTTGTCTTTACCATCACCTTCTGTCTCAGTGGCAATGATCAACAGGAAATAGCAGGGACACAGCAATAAAAGCTTGACAGTAATGTACACAATTACTTTCTCACTGGTCCATATATCTTGGATAATGGGCACAATAAAAACCTCAAGAGATGTTTTTCTGGCGCTTGTGTAGGAGCAGACATGTTTCTGATACGGAGAGAGGAGGCACCTCCAGCACAAGATGAAATAAAGGGAAACAATTCAAGAAAATGATCGCACAGGATATTAAAACCTGTCAGAAAGATCTTTTCCCACTAAGACGCCTTGGTCAGTGATGTCTGCAGGTGCAACAGACATAACAGCCAAAGTCCTCTAGACTGCTTGATCTCTGGTCTATGGCAGACAGGAACTGGCTAAAGGAGGCTTGCAGGGCACAGAGGTCTCTTTGTTATGGTGGCATCTACCTTACGCAGCACGTAGGGCTGGAGGAATCTCCCACTGGGCCAAGCTTCAGTATCTTGCTAGTCAGCCCCGTTGGCTCTCAAAATGCCTGCATTCAATCAGATTGTTCAGGTATTTTCAGTGCCAGCGGGACCGACTAGCAAGATACTGAAGCTTGGCCCAGTGGGCAATCCCTTCATTCACACAGTTTAGGGTAGATGGAGCAAATCTATTGCACTTTTTCCATCTGACCATAGAAAGTCTGCAGATAATCTATAGGTGTATTGTCAGCTTTAGTCTGGATGACCTGCTAGACGTTACAATACTCTATGTACTCTGAATCTACTCATGAAACAGTGCAAAATGTGCATCAATGCATTATAAAATGGCATGCACTTCAGGGAATAATACCAACTCACTTTTGGAAAGAAACACACAAAGCAAAGCAAATCACTCTGTTTTAAGCCCTGCAGGAATTCTGCATGTCCTGCAGTGCTAAAAGGCACAGTACAGGAAGAAGAGCTTTCTGCCTATGTCTGCCAGTCATTGCGGTCTCCCACTCACTTATTTCTACTGCCTGTGGTGGAGGAGCGTAGGCCAAGCACATCTGCTCGGGACATCCAGAGCAGATGTTTGGATCACTGTCACTTCACTTTGGATTCATGCGGCATTTAAAGACGTGAAAAACACACACATACAGACAATTATAGACACGCTGACTCCCCCTCCCTGGAACTGTGGGGGCAGGATGGATCCAGGTGCTACACAGATTAGGCATGCCATGGAACAGACCTGACTGTAGAAACAGGTTTGCAGTGTGGTAATCCTCTGGATCTGCTCTGATATTACAATCTTGTTCAATCTATATTTTTTTTTCAGGCGATCCCTATATCAATTGGTAATGTATTGCTAGACATCCAATGTGTGAGTACCACAACAGGTAGCACTGCTTTATATAGATTATGATACACTTAAAACCCAACTCCAATAAAAAAAATAAGAACTAGACCAACACTAGTAAAAATTGAAGAATAGCTCTCATTGCAATACTTACCTCCTCTCCGATCGCTCTTTGGTCAAGCGCAGGTCCTCTTCCAGGCTGAATCCAACCATCTTCCCATAGGTGTGCCATGATTGGTGTCTAGTGTGGGCTCATAGTTCCCCTGGACGGGTTTCGGCAAGCACTGGGCTGTCCAGAAGTAAGGACCACCCATTGCTAGAAGAGAAGCAGGAAGACGCGTGGCATCACATGACCAACCAGAAAACTGCAGGATTCCAGGTACTTATAAAGTGATTAAAACCAAAAAAATAGGTGAGGGAAGGGGCTTTAAAATGAATGTGGTGGGAAAAACTGGAGATAGATGGAAAAAAATAATGGAGACTAGTCTATAATGAGGGGATTGGCAGTGGCCCTCCTGAGCAAAGGAGGGAAAGCTTGGGGAACGGGAAGCCGGGGGGTGAATTGGTTGTCTTCAAGAGTAACATCCTAGCTCTGTTCCTGAAGGATCTATTAGTAGAAACTGCTCTAGGAGTACCACTAATCTCTAGATGCCAATCATTTCTGCAATTTTTGCCACACCTTCCTAGTAAAGAGGGATCTTGTATGTCTAATACCATGAGCAGTTAAGCTGGCCATAAGGTACAATCTGCTTGTACAATATCCTTTAGATCCTCCAGCATCTATATAATAGGAAAACATACCCAAATATAGATATAGATTGTTAAGGAAGGTGATTGCACAGTGTTTGAACGATCAGATTGTAACGCGTGTGGCCAACGTGAGGTATGTGGGATTTTACAATGTTGGAAAACACGGACCGACAGATCCCTACCCCTTTGCAGATAGCCACAGCTTCCTTGGACATAGACTTGGGATAGGCTACATTGTGCTCCATGATAGACTGGAATAGTTCATCTTCATCCTCCCCTTCAAAAGGAGCCTGTGAGAGGAAAGAGTGACGTTACTAAGAGATCTAAAACCCTACAGGATAACAACCAATCACAACCTGTGCAATGAAGACTAGACAACAGACTTAAATATACTGTATACCACTGTAAGTGACCAAAAGTATGTGGATAGCCGGTACACTGAGTTCTGGTGTTACCCATGGAGGGAACAGGTAATTCTACAATATACAAAGACAATTGTGCACTTCAAACCTTGTGGTAACAGTTTGGTGAAGGCCCTTTTCTCTTCCACCATGACTGTGCCCCTGTGTTCAAAGCCAGTTCCATAAATACATGGTGTGATGAGTTTGGTATGGAGGAACTCGATTGTGTTACTCAAAGCTCTGGCCTCCACCCTATTGAACACCTTTTAGATTAATTGGAATGCCGAGCCAACATCAGTAGCTGACCTCACAAATGCTCATTTGTCTTGTGGAAAGTCTTTCCTTGTGGAGACAAAATGGTACCAATTCCATATTAGTGCCCATGGGTTTGAAATGGGATGTCTAACAAGCTCATATACAGTAGGTGTGATGGTCAGGTGTCCTCAAAAATTTGGCACTAGATCATAGATCCTCACACCTGCTTGGGATCACAATTATGCTGGATGCATTTAGAAGCTTCACTGTTTTGTTTTCTTTTTGTTGTTGTTGACCCTTTAATTATTGTAGAAAGCTGAAAGGACTTAAGTGAGCAACTGAGAAGGGCCGAAGTTAAAGTGCATGTAATCCTAAGGCCTCATTCACACTGCTTAGAGTGGGCCCGTACAGATCCGTGCACGGCCGTATTGGGCCGTTCCCGGGAAGGACAGGTGCTGCGTGTGATTGTACACAGCAGCCTGTTCTCAATGGGAGTACACGGCCTTACGCTCACCTGAGCTGCACATTGGTGCGGGTGTCTGTACTCGTACGCAGACAGGATGGGTGTGCAGTGCGGGTGAACGTGCGGCGGCATACAGCCGCGTCCTCCAATAGGGAAGAACAGGCTGCTACGTACAATCACACACAGCACATGTCCTTCCCGGGAACGGCCCGATATGGCCGTGCACGCCGCATGGATCTGTACAGCCCCACTCTAAGCAGTGTGAATAAGGCCTAACAATTAACTTCTCTTATTTTCTGCCATTTGCTTGTGAAATATGCAATTAAAAGTGTTTCATTATATCGGATCGATGTGCAAAAAATACCTGTTGATCCTGCCAGAAATTCAGCGGTTTTCTGTGCATTTTGCACTGTTATCTCAATGTTATTAGGAAGTGTGTTAGGACTACAGATTACCTCCCCCTATGTTATGGGGAAGAGGAGAGGTGTTGTACAGTCCTAGCACATTTCCTGTCATAGGGTGACAACGCTGCTCCTGAAAAGATATTTACAGTGAATGAGCGTTGTCACCCTAGGAGAGTAATTGTGTTACTGGCAAGATCACCAGTTTAAAATAAAGGCAAAGAAAAAAGCCTGGAAAAAAAAACCTAATGCAGCCACCACATCTAAGGACTGGTAAGCTGCAATATGCAGTATACATTTTTTTTCTTCTTGGGTGTAGTTATGCTTTAAGTGAACCCGTCGCTTTGCCTTGCATTGGAAAAGTATAGGTTCGCTTTAACTACTCATGTTATTATTCATCATCTGCATACCAATTATATGCGGATACAGTGGATTATTAGTCTGTCTATTGAGTAGCAGTGATGTTTTCCTATCTAATCACACGCTGAAACAATGCATTTGATTGATGTCATTATGTGTAGCGTGTGTGTGAGCTGCAGTTTATGTAGAATCATGTTAATGTTCTTTTAACTGGCTAAATGATTGCAGGATACAGTGTCAGCATGTTGTTTCATGGTTATATGACAACGATGACATGACTTTAATGATTACATGGGCAGCAATAATTCAACATAAAATGTTATGCTTTCAATTGGCTTGAATAACAGTGATTTCATTAGAAGAAGAACCCATGGTGTGCCACTAATACAAACCGGAGGTACGTGAAGCACCTCCGGGTGTCTGTATTTTATATCTGATGTTAGTTTACTACAGGTTTGTTTTAAAGGGGAACCCCCCTGAGAATTATTCATGCCTAGAATATCAACATAATCCCCCTGGATTGAATACATTTAAACTTCTGTTCTTAGGGAGGAATCATGTTCCCTCTCAAAATGTCACAACTGGGATGTTTGAACGAGGAAAACAAATCTTAGCTGCCACAAAGCAAATCAAGCTTTCAATGCTTTGGTAAAAGAAATGCTGTTAATCAGTAAGAAATAGTTGGCTTCGGCTTCATCTCCGGCTTTTTATATAGACCAGAAAATATCAAGGAGGAAGCTGATGTATAAAAACTGAAGGAAACCAAAACTGGAGGAGCTGCCCACAGCAATTGATCAGATTTTAACAGTATGTTTCAACCCTAGACTATGAAATGACTAGCTGATATTAACAAGACCAACATTTTTTCATGAATTTTAACAAAATTGGTAATAGGTTTGTCAGGACAGGAGGCTATGAGTTATTGTAAATATGTTGTTTATCAGTGTGATTGGGGGTAGTAGGCATCTGACTTAACCTTCCAGCAGAGGTGGCAAGAGGAAGTAATCACAAAGGTTAATTCCTTCAGCGAGAGATGGCTCAAATGCTGTAAAGTGGAAATTAGATTTACATAACACAATTAGCATCTTAGTGTTGTGTGGGGATTCCTCTTGGCATGGACCATTCTTTCACACCACTCCTGGCCATGGAGGAACTAAGAATGTAACCTTCTAAGGGCCCTCTCACAAACAAAAGAAGCACAAACCCAGCCTCCTTCTATTAAATGCTCAGATATAAAAGATTAAATATGGATCCAGCGATATCTGGGGGTCCTAGTATATATATTAAATGTACCCTCATTATTCCCTGTAGAATGACACCAGACAAGGCTGGGGTATCTTTATTTGTTTAAGATAGACAAAAGTTGGTTTTGGAGGGTCTCAGCCTACCCATGTGAGATGTCTATGGAAAAAGATGCAATTGTGCTGTGTATGCATCTAGAGATAGCATATCTGTGTCAGACTCATATACAGAAATATTGCCTTTTTTGTCATATATGGGTTCTGTCTGGTGAAAAACTCCTCTACCAGGTGTGAAATAGGTGGGGGCTGCAAGTCCTTGTCTCTTAGCCACACCTGTTTCCCCACCCCGTTCATCCCAGAAGCTGGACTGCAACCTGAGCTGGGACCCACAGGTATAAAAAATGTTGCAAGGGTAACCAGAGTGTGCTTACTTGGGGGCCAAAATCTAGTTTTGTAGTAAGTTGCCATTTTCCTTGCCGGCAGCCCCCTGGGATAGAATCGAGTGCTTCTGTAAGTAGGATTTCTATCAGTTTTCTTCTTTTTATTTTTTATTTGTTTGTTTTGTGTAACTGTCTTGTATAACATCTAATTGTAAATATATGCACTGTGAATACTTTTTCTTCATAATAAATCATTCATTTATTAAGTTCCTGCCTTTGTCTGGTATAAGAACCATATATGTTCCTGAGGAGGTTCTTTTAATAATTCGGTACCTTGTACACTTTCGGCTAAATTTAAGTTTGGGGTCTTTGTAAGTTATTCTGTCTTTTATGCCCTAAATTTGGAAGTGAGTGTTTAACCAGGCTTGGTGGCAGTAATCTGTAGATTACACGGAGTGGGTGGTGTGTAAGTGGGACCTTTTATCATTATTTCTAAGTCTAGTGAAGACAAATAGTGATTTTTCAACCCTCTTACCACTGCAATACGTCATCTGGCCGCTTGGAGTAGGGCACGTCCGTGACAAGGTTCATCAAAATAAAGAAACCAAATAATAAAATAATTACCTGCCCGGCCAACATTTCATAGAGTAAGATGCCAAAGGCCCACCAATCCACTGACCTCCCGTATGGTTGATAAGCAATGATCTAGATCAGGAAAATACAAAATTATTATCAGATTTCTGTTGGTGGTTGAAAAAGACACCGAGCCTGGAAACAGCTACTGATAGATTATAAATCAACATACACATTTTAGGTCTGTTGGTCCTGTAGGGGTTATGGGAGAAGCAGGCTGGTTGTTCTAGACTTCCCTGTGCTGTGATAGATTTTGGCTCCTTAAGGAAGAATCCAAGATGTGTCCACAGATACTGTATAATCCCACCAGCATTATCTGGGGCTAGCTTGGGGTCCATGGGAAGTCTCACCAGAAGAAATCCTTATAACAAACCCAACTATTTCAGTAGGCACTTCTCCATTCAAAGTATCAGCAGCATGACTCCAATGCTCCTCCAACTATTACAGAGGACAAGTCCAGCAATTCTGTGGAAAAACCTCACAACTATTACTTCCTCCACCTATACTCACCATCTCGCTTCTTTTGGCCATTACCCAAAGCTCCTCTCCATAAGTGATTATAGGCACTCAAGCCTTACCTGAAAACTCTGCTCATAGTTATTGCCTGGGAACAGGAATCCTGAGATAACTAATCTCCTTCACTAGGCTATGTCTCCTCATGCAAGCCTAAACTCCAAGATAGACTAGACTTTCCAAGAGAGTCCTGTGGCATGAGGTTTAAAGTTGAAGTATCACACTCAACAGAGAAATAATATTCTGTATAACTTCATAGCATTTAAAACAAGGTGACAGGATACTTCTATGCTAATATGTTAGTTCATTATTGACAGGAATACTTACTTTTCCATCTCCCCTCCCACTGGTCAATTCAAAGCCAGTCAAAACAAAATGCTTAAAGTTATATTCTGTATTGTCCAATGTAACAAGAATGCAGTGTGGTTTGTGAGCAGCAGTTTTAGACTAATCCTCATATCTTTCATCACCAGTCCACTGTCCCCAGTGTCCAATCTGTGTGACCACGCTCTTCTTCCTTGCTTCTATAGCACTGAATTTATGATCATCACTCATCCTCCCATTGCATCAGTTATGACCATTACTTTAAGCAGGCTTTTTCCAATTTGTACCCAGCCAGTAACTCCCATCTGTTCTGACTAGTGGATTTTCTAAGCCACCAGGAAGCCATGGCTGGTGAATGCTGAGGAATTGCATTGTAATTATGTGTGTGTGTTATGGGCTTACAAAAAATTAGCAAAAATCATCTACCAAACAAATTTTTTTCAGGTGTGCCCTACTTTCACTACTGTATTGAGAGAATAAAACATTTTTCTTTGCTGCCAGGTGGCCATGGTAAACCGGTTTGTTTATAGGACACATTACCTCTGGGGCTATATAGTCTGGGGTGCCACAAAAAGTCTTTGTCGTCACTCCATCCCACATGTTCTCTTTACACATTCCAAAGTCTGCAATCTTGATGTGGCCCTCTGAGTCCAGCATAACATTGTCCAGCTTCAAGTCCCTGGATGGACAGAACATTACACAATAACTCAAAGAGAAGAGGAAAGTCTTGACACAGCCACCAATGGTTGGATAGGGCATCAGGTCAAATTATGAAAATGTTGCGCATCTTTGAAGGGACATCCCACCCACAAGTATTATTTCAGACAAAGGTGAATATTGGTTGAGCTCCCTGCTGGTTTCTTACATCTCTTAGGAATCCCAGAAATGGGCTTTCCCTTTGCTGACAAAACTGAATGAGAATGGAGTATAAATATAATCTGCTTAGGAGGTTACAGTAGTACAGTGGCACTGCGCAGGGTTCTTACAGGTCCAGGCTACCAGCAGAGTGCGTCAGCATGAAACTTTGTAGTTCTAATCACGAACATGCCTTAAAACTATGTACAGCAAGCATAGCCACCTTCAAAAAGAAGTGTGCAGCAATGCTTTTGGATATTATTTTATATTTAGGTATACTGAATGGTGAGTCACATCAATAGGGCATATCAAAGCTAGAGAAGGTGAGCAATACTTTATTCAGCTTTCATACTGAAAAAAATTGGAAATGCAAAAGGCACAGAGATGCTGTATCATTTGCATTTCCCTCTACTGGTATGGTCTGCATGTGCATCCTGCCTGGTGAAGTGCCAGGCAGGTGCACAACTGCACTACCCCCTGGTTTATTGCAGAAGCATAAAAGGTTGTAGCTGGGCCCCCTGGACATTAACTGCGCCGTAGGCTCCTTCCTACATTACATGTGGATGCTCTAGCTCTGCATAGAAGTCTTCAAATGGCCCTTGTGCTGCTCAACTTTCCTCTAATGAGTGACTTTAGACTGTAAACTCCTTTGGAGCAGAGCTGAAAAACGGTTTAATGTGCTCTGTAGATTCTCTGTAGCATACGGCAGTCTTAAATGATTGAAATAAATAAAAACTGAAAAACGACATATAGATTCCTTTCATTTAAAGTTAGAAATAGGGCTTCAGGAATGACAAGTTTATGTAGGAGAAGTAAGCTAATGACACACACCCACTCACTCCCACACACCATATTCTCAGAGCACTAATATTGCATTGAATCAATACACTGCGTGTACTGACCCCAATGTGCTCATTATTGCGCCTCCTGGAAAATGCTGCAAAATCCCCCCCATTTCTGCTGGATATCATGTTTATCATGCGGACAATAGATATCTTAGGAGGATGGGCCATTAGGAGAATTAACTGCTCTCTGTGTGTAGGAGTAAGTAGGTGTAAATCCTGTTCCTTTCCTGTTTCACCCCAGATCTTCCGCTACATCTACATGCCGCTTCCGCACAATCTGTGATTTACTTCTAACAGAACACAGGTATAGTAATAAATGGAAAAAAATAAAAAGGGAGCCAATGTGAACGGCCCATCGCAAGTGTAAAAAAAAAAAAGTGCCCTAGATAAATGAGCAACAATGATTCTGACAGTTATTCATCTGTTTTAATGCTGCACTTGCAAGAGAGTAAAGAGAGAGAATGTCTGCAAATTGGAAAGGAAAGGGGACGCAATAGAGACTGCAAGTGAGGGAGCGAGAGAAAGATACGGTGAAGAGGACGCAATAGAGACTGCAAGTGAGGGAGCGAGAGAAAGAGAAGGTGGAAATAGGACGCAATAGAGACTGCAAGTGAGGGAGCGAGAGCAAGAGAAGGTGGAAAGAGGACGCAATAAAGACTGCAAGTGAGGGAGCGAGAGAAAGATAAGGTGGAAAGAGCAGGCAATAGAGGCTGCAAGTGACGGAGCGAGAGAGAGAAGGGTGGAAAGAGGAGGCAATAGAGACTGCAAGTGAGGGAGCGAGAGAGAGAGAACGGTGGAAAGAGGAGACAATAGAGACTGCAAGTGAGGGAGCGAGAGAGAGAGAGAGAAGGGTGGAAAGAGGAGGCAATAGAGACTGCAAGTGAGGGAGCGAGAGAGAGAGAGAGAACGGTGGAAAGAGGAGACAATAGAGACTGCAAGTGAGGGAGCGAGAGAGAGAGAGAGAAGGGTGGAAAGAGGAGGCAATAGAGACTGCAAGTGACAGAGCGAGAGAGAGAGAACGGTGGAAAGAGGAAGCAATAGAGACTGCAAGTGAGGGAGCGAGAGAGAGAGAGAGAAGGGTGGAAAGAGGAGGCAATAGAGGCTGCAAGTGAGGGAGCAAGAGAAAGAAAAGGGTGCATAGTGAGAATAGAGAAAGAGATGGAAATAGGAGGTGGGAGAAAAACAGAGATAGTAGAAGCAAATGCATAAAGAGAAATGGTGGAAAAAGAGACACAGAAGGATGGAAAGGAGGTTAAATTAACAGATGGAGTGACAGGTAACAAGTTCAATTACATACCGGTACACAGTGCCTTTGCTGTGAAGGAAGAGCAGTCCGATTGCAATTTCTGCTGCATAGAATCTAGATTTACAAACAAACAGATATCCCGGTTTTTTAAAGAGTCTTTGTTTACTGGTAACAGTACATAATATTATTGTGCTGCACAATGGTGAAACCTGAACTCGACCTGAACGCAAAAGGTGAAGGTTTGCCATCTTACCGGGAATAATATTATTGTGCCTCAAAAATGAACCTTTTGATTAAGAGTGCTCCGGAAAAATAGCAGTTCGCTTTCCTGGTATGTGCCTACAGCTTCATATCTACAGTGTGAGATCTTAAGGCACTGCTGCCTCTGACTGCTAGTCTCAGGAGATTTGAGTGAGATTCGGTGATGTCATTGCTGTGCTGATCATTGATCTTCTTGCAGGAGGGGGAGCTGTACCTAAAGACCTACAGTGAGATCTAAGGCACTGCTGCCTCTGGCTGCTCAGGCTTATAAGATTTGGTGATGTCACTACTGTTCTTTGCTGAAGAGGACACTGCAGTGCAAGGAACTCCCTGCTACTGCTTTATTCATTTTGTGCTCCCACCACCTCTTCTGCTGCTTGTTGAATATTGCTTCCCCAATAATCTGATCACCTCTGAGGAAGCAAAGCCCTGTTCACCAACCAGGATTGCCACCTCCTCACAGAGACTAAGTGCACAAAATATTAAGTCAGTAACTGGGTAAAAAGACAAAGCTGCTGGGGCCGCATGGGATAATAATTATACATTATGAAGGACAGAGGTGTTCCAATTCAAGTTCAGACATGACATAACTATCATATTGTGTATATTAAGTAAATTAGATCATCCTAGGAAAAGTGTGCGCACTCTGTCCTGATGGCCATGGTCACCGAGACAGAAAGAGAGGGGTAATCCAAAATGTTAGCGTCGTCCCCAAAACAAAAGGTAAGTGGAAATCTTACTGCCCAAGAGGGGAATCCCTCTCATTTTGGAAGATTTCCTCTAAGTTTCTGTTGTGTCTATGGGACATGAAGTCAAGGAGAATAGACCCAATGGTACAGGTAAAGTATTCACACCTACAATGTTTCAATTTGTGCTTCAACGTCTCAACCTTGAAGTACATGCAGCTCTTGTATCTTTGTCTGAAATCTCCCTAGCTATCTGGGATTTTCATCACAGACCGCTCTCAGTCTGATATACACCGATCAGCCATAACATTCCGACCACTGACAAGTGTAGTGAATAACATTGATTGTCTCATTACAATGGCACCTGGAAGAGGGGGGGATATATTACAATGGCTCCTGGAAGTGGGGGGGATATATTACAATGGCTCCTGGAATGGTGCAAATGCATAAAGAGAAATGGTGGAAAAAGAGACACAGAAGGATGGAAAGGAGGTTAAATTAACAGATGGAGTGACAGGTAACAAGTTCAATTACATACCGGTACACAGTGCCTTTGCTGTGAAGGAAGAGCAGTCCGATTGCAATTTCTGCTGCATAGAATCTAGATTTACAAACAAACAGATATCCCGGTTTTTTAAAGAGTCTTTGTTTACTGGTAACAGTACATAATATTATTGTGCTGCACAATGGTGAAACCTGAACTCGACCTGAACGCAAAAGGTGAAGGTTTGCCATCTTACCGGGAATAATATTATTGTGCCTCAAAAATGAACCTTTTGATTAAGAGTGCTCCGGAAAAATAGCAGTTCGCTTTCCTGGTATGTGCCTACAGCTTCATATCTACAGTGTGAGATCTTAAGGCACTGCTGCCTCTGACTGCTAGTCTCAGGAGATTTGAGTGAGATTCGGTGATGTCATTGCTGTGCTGATCATTGATCTTCTTGCAGGAGGGGGAGCTGTACCTAAAGACCTACAGTGAGATCTAAGGCACTGCTGCCTCTGGCTGCTCAGGCTTATAAGATTTGGTGATGTCACTACTGTTCTTTGCTGAAGAGGACACTGCAGTGCAAGGAACTCCCTGCTACTGCTTTATTCATTTTGTGCTCCCACCACCTCTTCTGCTGCTTGTTGAATATTGCTTCCCCAATAATCTGATCACCTCTGAGGAAGCAAAGCCCTGTTCACCAACCAGGATTGCCACCTCCTCACAGAGACTAAGTGCACAAAATATTAAGTCAGTAACTGGGTAAAAAGACAAAGCTGCTGGGGCCGCATGGGATAATAATTATACATTATGAAGGACAGAGGTGTTCCAATTCAAGTTCAGACATGACATAACTATCATATTGTGTATATTAAGTAAATTAGATCATCCTAGGAAAAGTGTGCGCACTATGTTCTGATGGCCATGGTCACCGAGACAGAAAGAGAGGGGTAATCCAAAATGTTAGCGTCGTCCCCAAAACAAAAGGTAAGTGGAAATCTTACTGCCCAAGAGGGGAATCCCTCTCATTTTGGAAGATTTCCTCTAAGTTTCTGTTGTGTCTATGGGACATGAAGTCAAGGAGAATAGACCCAATGGTACAGGTAAAGCATAAAATAAACAGGTATGGGTTTTAACACTTGCCTGCTCTATCC